TTGCAAAACTGTTGAGTCTGCTGAACGCAGCCAATCATAAAACGGTTGCAAAACTGTTGAGTCTGCTGAACGCAGCCAATCGCTAGTGCAAAAAGTATAAGTAATACGAATAGACTTATTATGAATGCAAACAAAATATGAATGCTACACCGTAGATTTATTAGAATTATTGGATGCTACGGAAATTGAGCACAATTGAGTATAATTGAGCATACTTGAAAATTAAATACTGAAAATTATAATATAATTCTTAATATGGTTCAAAAAATCAGAATAAATCAATAAATAAAAGAAGGGCTACGAGCCAATTATAATGTAAAATATTTAATAATTTAAAAATCGTACATACAAACGTTTCGACATCAATCGGGTCATTTTCAATGTAAAACAACAAAACATTATTACATAAATTATCGAAAATTTTCGGTCATATTATAATGTCCAGTAAGCGGTCCATATACAAAAATAACTTAAAAATAACTTAAAGGTGATCTCATCTCATTTTTCATAATTCTTAATGATGTAAGTTAGACGCCGAAAAGAAAACGCAATTAACAAAGTAATATTGAAAATAAGCCATAATACTTTAATGTGATCGAAAATTTTCGATAATTTATGTAATAATGTTTTGTTGTTTTACATTGAAAATGACCCGATCGGTGTCGAAACGTTTGTATGTACGATTTTTAAATTATTAAATATTTTATATTATAATTGGCTCGTAGCCCTTCTTTTATTTATTGAAAATTATAATGTTTTCCACTGGGAAAATTGGTGCAACACTAATGCAATGGAGTGCAAATCTGTTTACATATTTTCAGTGTTAATAAATGCTTTTAAGATTATGAAGTTTTCGTGACAACAAAGGATATGTAATTTTAAATCATTTATATTAATATAGAAAATATATGAATAGATTTGCATTCAATTGCACTCAATGTGCATTATTAGGTCTGTTCTTTTTGGCTGAATTTTTGCACCAGTACATCTTTCTCTCCAAGAGGAAAAAAGAGAAAGAAAAGTGAACTGAGGCTCTATTCTTGAAAAGAACCGTATACCAAAAACTAGGAAAATACTATAGTATATGTAACGTATACTGTAGTATTTCCCTAGACTTTCGTATACGTTTCTTTTCAAGAATAGACCCCCTGGTGCAAAAATTCAATCAAAAAGAACAGGCCTAGTGTTGCACTAATTCTAGTGAAAAACCGCTATTAAGGTATATTTTACATGCATCTTTATAAAAGAAATGTGATTGGATAATTTTCTTTATGCATATGTTTATGCGGCTATGCAAGTTGTGTGAATATATCCTGAAGCCTGTCACATATGAAATGCATAAACAGAGCATATGCATAACATAAGGCCGGAATCAGACTACTCATTGAAGATTGAGGTTGAAGATTGAAGATTGAAATTTGACCAGTAAGGTCAAAGAAATTTTAGCTCCTTTCGTTTCGATTGGTTAGATTTAAATTTTTCAATTTTCAATCTGTCTTCCAATGCGTAGTCTGATTCCGGCCTAAAGCGTTGTCTACAATATGCGAAGTAAGCTTAGTTTAAGAAGTAAGAGTAAGAAATTGACCAATCGCAGTCGAATGTGAGAAGAATAATCGACTGTGATTGGTTAATTTCGTACTCTAAGGATCACTGTCACCAAGCTCAGTTAACTTAACTGGCCAGTTAGTCCATCGGAATTGACCAATCGCATTTGTCATTTTGTTTGAAGCAATGGATGTTTGAAGCAAACCGATGGACTAACTGGCCAGTTAATTTAACTGAGCTTGGTGACAGTGGCCCTAATGTGGGGTCTACAATAGAAGTCGTAGCGATCGTAGAATCTTAAGTCATAGAAAATTATTGACCTCACAATCGAATATGAGAAGAATAATCAACTATGATTGGTCAATTTTCTACGACTTAAAATCCTACGACCGCTGCGACTTCTATTGTAGACCCCGCATTACTTCCTACTCCGTGTAGACGACGTATCAGACTGCTGGACCAATGAGCATCCAGCATAATGTCGCCATATTGATTTACATAAGATGCTCATTGGTTCAGCGATCTTTTGTTATATTTATGCACTGTTATGCGGGGTCTACAATAGAAGTCGTAGTATCTTAAGTCGTAGAAAATTGACCAATCACAGTTGATTATTCTTTTCATTTTCGACTGTGATTGGTCAATTTTCTACGATTTAAGACTCTACGACTACTACGACTTCTGTTGTAGACCCCGCATTATGCATTTCATGTGTGACAGGCTTTAGGGCCATCACACACAAAATGACGTAAGGCCTGTTCTCTTTTTGGCTGAACTTTTGCACCAATTCATCTTTCTTCCTTTTCTTTCCTCTTGGAGAGAAAAGGAAGAAAGATGAATTAGTGCAAAAGTTCATCCAAAAAGAACAGGTCTATAAACTGCATAACCATAGCATAAAGCTGCTGGACCAATGAGCATCCGACATAAAAAACGCCATTTCGATTTACATAAGATGCTCATTGGTCCAGCAGCTTTATGCTATGATTATGCAGCTTACGTCATTTTGTGTGTGATAACTCGTAGAGTTTGGCCAATTTGGTAAATCGAATAATTTTAATATTATACCGCTTTTTCCGATAATTCCGATTAGCCAAATTCCAATAACCAATACACGTCCCCCCCCCCCCACTCAGTACAATTTAATGAAAACGCATACATTACGTATGACACATGTAAGTGAGGACATAAGGACTATATGGAGCATGGCCGCCCGCCATCAGCTATGGTTCCGTTGAATAGTTGGTGTTAGTTGGACAATCGACAAGGGGGGTCAAGGTATTTAATCAAGGTTGCGATTTGCGATTACTCATTGCTGACAGCGCACGTTAATTAGTCGTGTCTCAGCACCATTAAATTCGCGGCAACGAGATTTGCCACGTATTTCCGGAACGTCAGACGATCTTACTGTCCATTTTTTTTTATTTTTTTTCTATATAAAAAATTCTTCGCACGGTGTGAGAAGATACGTAATTCCCCATTCCCCCCTCCTCCGTAGTTCCTTTCTTCCACCTGTAGATGTAATTTATCTCTCGAAAGAATACACCATTCTTCGCTTTATCCTTGAACGTATCCTCGCGTAACTCAAAGTCTGAAGGAATGATTCGCGCGCGGATTTCGCCAAGGAACGAATAGAGAGCAGCGACAATAAAAAAAGTTTCACTCTTCGCTGCCGGGTAAGTTTGTATGATGGCGAGTGATCTGTCGAGCGGCTGCACGGAGACGATCGACATCCTAGACGATGAGAAAGAAGAAGGCGAGATTTCATTGGAGGATGTCAGTTCGTCTGAAGAAGGTGGGATGGGTCACTTGACCAGTAGCTACGTCGTCGGCAGGATGCGTGCATGCCCTGATTGCAAGTCTTGGGGCGACTGTGCTACCTGGTGCAACGCAACGTATCATCCTAAGAACCAGAGCAGGAGAGGTAAAGTCATACTGGACCTTGTATCCGTCGTCGATGTTTCTTTTTTCTTTGTTCATATTTTATATTTGTGTTTGAAGTTAAGGCCTGATTCCATCCATGTAAAATTAACTTTAATCTTGGTGTTTAATGTTTATTTTTTTCTAAATCTTAAAATCCAATTTAGTCTTTATCTTTTTAACGGAGAATTTTAGGGCATTCACCACAAACGCACGTTCTTTTTTGGCGAAACTTGTCTCAAGATAAAAACAATAAAATTTACATAGATAAGAATATAGACGTTTCGGCCTCAAATTAGGCCATCCTCAGTATACCAGTCAAAATTATAAAATTACAAACACAATATTTAGAGTCACCTAATTAAAATTTACGCACATCATTCTAAAATATTTCTTATAACATGGCTAAAATTTAAAAACGCACGCTCGTTAAAATTGGTACATTTTAATTTTTCGCATATTCGAATGTGTAACAGCTAATTTCGTCTTATGTTCCAATCCATAGATCACTTTTAGAGTTATGAGAGAACACGGAATTTCCAGATTCTGTGTTACAATAAGATTGAGAAGATAAGAAATAAGTGTGAAAGCCATGTTTTATTAATACAGCATTTTATTGGCACCAAAGTTAACATCGGCAGTACATAGTTAACTTTGGTGCTTTCACACTTGTTTCTTATCTTCTCAATCTTATTGTAACACAGAATCTGGAAATTCCGTGTTCTCTCATAACTCTAAGTGATCTTTAGCTGTTACACATTCGAATATGCGAAAAATTAAAATGTACCAATTTTAACGAGCGTGCGTTTTTAAATTTTAGCCATGTTATAAGAAATATTTTAGAATGATGTGCGTAAATTTTAATTAGGTGACTCTAAATATTGTGTTTGTAATTTTATAATTTTGACTGATATACTGAGGATGGCCTAATTTGAGGCCGAAACATCTATATTCTTATCTATGTAAATTTTATTGTTTTTATCTTGAGATAAGTTTCGCCAAAAAAGAACGTGCGTTTGTGGTGGATGCCCTAAAATTCTCCATTTTAATTTCGACCACGTATTTATTTATTATTTATTTATTCTTTATCTTTTTCTAATTCTAAGAAACAGCGAGTTAAACCAAGATTAAAGTTAATTTTATATTGATGGAACCTAACAAACAAAATATATGCATAAATAAACCAAAAGATTCAAAAGTATTTCCTTGAATCTTTTGGTTTATTTATGCATATATTTTGTTTCTGATATATATATAAAGATTTTGAAGTTATAAATATAATACAAAAAAGCAATAATTGTTATAAACAATAAAATAATTTTTACTCATTTTTGTTAAATCGACTCTTATATGACCTTTATAATCATTTTATTGTTTTTAATATTAAGAGTCTTTTATTGTTTTATACGATTTGAATAATTGTTATAATTTTGCAATTTATTATGCTCTCCTAAGAAATGTATTTTGATATAGTTTTCTTTGATTTCTGTCACTTCAATATTCTACATATTGCTTTTAATTTCCTACACAGCACAAATCTTCAAAAAACATCGTAAAGAGACGTCTAGAGGAACTCAGAAGTCAGAATTCCTATCTTTTGAATCCTAAAAATGTACCTTAGTCTTTTGAATCCTAAAAATGCCCTCAAGGCGTCTCTTGTATAAAGTGTGCTATGTGGATTTCAGTGATTACAATATAATCAGACAAAGAAATTTGATAGAGATTTCTATTTTAATAGAGTTATTTTTGAAAAAAGTCTTACTAGTCTGTATGTGTATAATGAAAAATGTATCTTTCAATGAATAAATATAATTAGAATAGTAATTATTTGAACTAGTATCTTGTTTTAATCAAGTAGCAGTTAATCTTATTTTATAAGATCCAGTCAAAGGGAAGGAAAATCGTCATCATGTCAGAGAAACGGGATTTGCTGCAACAAAGCACATGGCATCGACATTACAAGAGAAAAATGACGACCTAGTACCAATCTCCAGTGACAGCGACATGGAAATCGTCGGTCTCACGGATACATCCAATCGATCAAAGGCCAAAGTAAAAAAGAAAAAAAGAAAGAAAAAGGAATATGAACCCCTCACTATCGATGAATTGATTTCTCCGACCTCCATCGACCTATCGTCTATGGCAGAAGGCACGGTGAAAGTATATAGGGAAGTAAGTCCAACTCGCAGATCAAGTGGCAGATCAAAGATGATTTCGAAATCGCCAATTCGAAGATACAGGTCGCCAGCGATAGCACGATCGTCGTTTCGATCTTCTCGATCTCCGCTAAATCATTCCAGATCTCCAATACTAAAGAAATCCCCGCGAAAGGTCAGATCGCCGAAACGTAGTATCCGTCGTCACTCACCCGTGAAAGCAACGAAGAGACTGCCGTCGAAGCTGACTTCGTCGCCGTCTACTCGTTCCTATGTCGACAGACACGGCGAGGTGACGCGATTGTTGAAAAAGGTGAAGCATCTGGATTCCATAGGAACTCAAGCATCGGAAGCATCGAGCGTCAACCGGAGTAAGGAATCGTCATCGTTGAAGGAGAAACTATCGAATATACTAAACAGAACCAGTAGCGAAGACCACATGCACCTCAAACCGGGAAAATCGAAAGTTGAAACAGTCGACGATGCCGACGATGAGGACGATCTGGCGTTGCTGCGACAAAAGGCATTAGAGACAAAGCAGAAAAAGTTCAGTAGATCTTCGGAGCATTCAGCGGATGTAGAATCAGAAAAGAGATTGGCTGTAAATAACGATGACCAGGACGAGGAGGCTTTGCAACTCCGTATGATCGCCCTGCGCTCGGCGGTCATGAAGAAGCATCAGAATCGGGTTCAACGTGGTATTAAGACCAAGAGACCCACCCGTAGTGAAAGTCCATTTAGTTCAAGTTTTCTCGATGATATACCCGTGCCTAGCGATGAGTTGTTGAAATATGCGTCACCGCCATGCACTCCGTCACCCGAGAGCAATCACATTGAAGACATGGACTTAGATACTGACATCGAAAGAGAAAAAGAGAAGTTGCCATACTCGCCGACCGACAAGATCACTGAGAACGTTCCTATCGACACAGCATTGCTTGGAATCGAGCCATCTGACGTGTCGTTTATTAACGTAAACGAGAACATCGGTAGCCCGGTCTTTGACGACGCACAAGATGAACTTGCAACGAACAGTGTCACATCCTATTATAATGGAACTTACTTGCCTTACCAGGCACTTCCAAGTAAGCCGCAATTCTATGCGCATTCGCCATCACAGTACAACAACGAGGTCTTTGATTCGGATTTAAATGATTTAACCGGAAAAAGTCTCGAAAACCCTCAGAGCAATGGTGTCGTTTGCGATCTAATAGATGGAATTTGTTGTCAAGAAAGTACTTATTCCTTGACGAATATGCCAGATACGCATGATCTTCCAGTGTCCAAGGATCTTCTCACTCCTCCTGTCTCTTCCTATGGCACTTTCGCTTCTCCTCTTCAGATGCAACAAATCGTGGAGCAACCTGCCAAGGATAGTATTGTATTTGTGAATGTGGATTCCACATTTAGAAATGATAAACCCGCCTACGAAATGCAGACAGTTCCTCCATTTAACTCCGTTGCAAATGCTCCGACAACGACATATGCGGCTAGATACGCCGAGTCGATGTCGCCGAATGAATCGATGATAACGATCGATGATCTTCCAGAGGAATCTGTAGATCCATTGAACTTTCCTATTGGCGACGACAGAAATTTACCAGCTATGGAATACATTCCAAAGGAAGCAGCACCATGTCAAGCTGTAGATAAAACATTACAGGAACCTTTATATATGCAAGGTATCCCAGAGGTTACTAAAGATATGAATAAAATACCTACGTTAATCAATAGAAAGCTGGTACCCGCGCCAATACTGAAATCGAATAAGCGACTGCGAGAACATTTAAAGAAGCGCGAAACGCTGCAACCAGAGCCAGAGCCGACTTTCAAGAATGCTGAGATGCAACCAATAACCGTTGTCGCCGCAGATGCGAATAGCAGCATCTTTAAACCGATAAAATTACAAGTAGTGAAAAAATCCGCGCCTGCTTTGTCGACGCTCCCTACATTCGACAATTCGGTGAACGAATCTTTAGATACATCAGAGGATCAAAGAGGCTCATCCAAGGAAGATCATGAGATAGTTGAGCTGGGACAGACTGATGTCACTACTACATCGTCAGCGAATGAAGCTACTCCAGCTCGGAGGAAAAGGAAGAAACGCAGAAGGAAATACACACGTAGGAGTATCATTCTTGAGAAAAAAAAGAATCGACGTTTGGATGCTGATGTAAATAGAGATGCAATTGCGAATGCGTCTATTTTAGATCACATTGCAACCGAATCTGATCAGAGCAAGAGCAATGATAACGTTAATACGCAGAAGATTTTAATAGAAAATGAAGAATCGTCGAGATTGGAAAGTATCACTGATATGCAGGAGTCTATCAACTCCGGTGATGTTATGATTGAAAAGAGAGACGTGGAGAAGGACAATCACACAATACCCTTAACATTCGAATATTCGCAAGAAGAACACATTGAATCCCATTGTTTGTCAACAAATCCCGCACCAGACAATTCCAATTCTGGCATAGTTAGCAAAGCCATCGATACGGCTAAAAACGTTAGTAGGAGACAAAGCGTTGATGAGGATGAGGACGAATTGCGTGCCATCTTATTGGCTTCTTTAAAACGAACGAAATCAGCAGATATCAACAATGCTCCAATTGCTCCAACTATTCCGGTTACAAACTCTGTTGTAACGAATGTCCAGACATCTGCATTAAATCAAATATTGGCAGATACCATGCCATCTACGGTTAACACAACGTGCACAGTGAGCAACAATGTTCCGTTATTACCGTCGAAGCCGTTGCCATCGAAGCCGTTGCCATCGAAGCCGTTGTCGTCGAAGCCGTCGCTGTCGAAGCCGTCGCCGTCGAAGCCGTCGCAGTCGAAGCCATCGCCGTCGAAGCCGTCGCAGTCGAAGCCGTCGCCGTCGAAGCCGTCGCCGACGAAGCCATTGTCGGCGAAGCCATTATTGTCGAAACCATTATCGTCGAAGCCTTTATCGGAAAATATAAAGAAGAAAATTAATGACGCATCTATCTCTGTGCAAAATGGTAGCAGAAAAAGAAGCACCAGCCTAGACACGGTAAAGAGTCCTCCGAAAAAAATAACGAGAAAGGCACTCACGAGCACGAAGGTGGTAAACAACGCTAAGAAATATCAAAATATGATTGTGCAGAGGAAATTAAATCTACGAAAGATTGATAACAATGCGAAGCCTACTGAAAACGCATGGTCCAACGCTAACGCTTCAAAAATATCGTTGCACGCATCTGACACTCAACGATTTGTGATAAGTTTGGGTTCCGATACGGATACCGAGTCCGAAGGCGAGAAAAACGAGTCTGTTTCTGTCGCGGAGAAGCATCAGGAGATCCCCGCCGATTTTGAAAAGAACTTGAGTAAATTTCTACGTGAGGTGAGAAACGAACAAGAACAGTCTGCAGCAGCCGCAGCGAAGTCATCCAGTTCGTCCACGCAAGCGACAAAGCGAGATGTGCTACAGACGGCTAACGGTTCATCTAATATGCACACGCCACTGGTAAGGCGATTGCGTGTTTCCTCTAATTATCTTTTAATGCTAGTAATTTATACGAAAGAGATTAATATTATTTAGATTCGCAATTTGAGGATTTATTATTGAAGAAGAAACTGATTGATTGTAGAAACACTTTTAATTTGTTCTGCAGGTTTTCCTACTTTGTTGCAGGCCGTGAGGCATCTTCCTGCGTCACAGCAAGAGGAGTATCGTCGTTTGAAGCAGGAAATCTTGGAGCGCGAAAAGTTGAAACTGCAGAGAAAGGTAGCAAGTAATAATAGTAGTAATGGTAGTAATAGCAGTAATAAATTATTAAACACTAACGTAGCAAGCTCACCAATAAAATCTTTGACACCGTGCGAAAATAAAACGCATGTTAAACAGAATCAGGATAATTTAAAAACGCCAGAGAGGAATCCTCAAGAATCATCAACAGAAGTTGGAAGGAAAAACGACGACGTGACGAGAGACACGTCAGAATTAAACGTATGTCGCAAGTCTGCTGACAAAAAACTTTCAATGAATATTGCTAAACATACTAATTCCACGCATTTGCAAACTAAAAACTGTAAGAAAGCGATACCGAATGATCTCAGCATTCGAATTACTAACGTTACCGCTTCAAGTCACGCCAACGATAGAACGGTCGAGAATTTGCATGAGAAGCAATCCGTGACAGACACACAGCAGCATAGATCTGCTTTGAGAACGTTAAGCACAGACGAAATAAATCGTAAATACGTGCAAGTAATGTTGAAACCGAACGCAATTGAGCGAGTCGTCACTATAAACGACAAATCAATTTTACAACATGACATGACAATAAGCGTCGGTCAAAGTGAAAATCTGATCGAGCCTGATGTCAATACAGAAAATCTAGTCGAGAAAAATCTAAATGATATAGATAGTAACAGTAGTACTTTTTCTACTGCATCTACTGTAAAACTTCCAAATTCATTTACGATTTCGAGTGAGCACGAGGAGACGATGGAAACCACAATATCACTTTCCCAATATAAGGCAGAATGCCAGCGAGAAATTAATCGTGATAGTTCAACGTCTGTACTTGTAGACAATAATAATAGCAACAATAGCTCTCATAAATCTGACTCAGTTGCTGACGATAATGGTACTACGAATGATATTTGGGACACACTTAAAAAGGATGTTAAAGCAGAAGTGGATTCCCTGACGAATCTTCCAGAATCGGCGCAAGAGCGATACTTGAGAGAAACTGAGCATAAATTAGTTATAAAACGGTAATTACACATAATAATTTTGCGAAGAAACAAACTATAATAATGAGCGACACACAATAAAGCTTTCATATTAAATTATGTTATATATATGATATAGGTATATGATCTTAGATCATTTAGCAGAAATGTCAGGAAATCTTCGTCAATGGGATATGGAGAAGGAAGTACAAACTACCCTGGCCAACGAAGTGAAAAAACTTAAAGAACAGTTGAAGATAGCCGAGGAAAGGTTACAGCAGCAGCGCGATCGCGTTAGTAGCATGGGCCCAAAGGTTTCAACAGCACGTCAAAAGATCAATGCTGGACGACGTGAGTGCTTCAAACTGTCCAGAATTTGTTCGACCCTAGGTAACCGACTCATGGAGAAAAATTACAAGTACGCAAGTATGAAAGCCACAGATGCATGTGGCGTAAATATTTTATATAATAACTAATAATTTAGATTATCTTATATGTAAATAAAGAAAGAAATTCTGACATTCTATTTTTAGTGTATTTTGATTATGAAGATTGTTCTTTTAGGTTGCCAGAGGCGGTAGATCAACTTTTAAGTGATAAACTCAAGGAGGTTGCTAATCATACGCGTCAGTTTACCAAGAAGAAGCGACTTCAAACTAACGATATTTCTGAAAATTCCTATTCTAGTACTTTACAAGAAACCTCAGAATCATCTAAGGATACATGCATTGAGGAAAATTTGTCGCAAGAACAGCCAATGAATGACGAAGTTGTGATCGTTGAGATGAGATCAAAGAGAGATACTCACTTGACGCAATCTAATCAAAATAAGAGTTTATCGACGGAAATCTCACTGGATTTCTCGCAAGTGATTCCATGCCAATCAACATCAGAAAGGAGAGAAGAAACTTCAGCAAATGCATCGAATCATCGTAACGAAGAACAAGTCACATCCCTTAACCAAGATAATGCATTATCTTCTGAACCAAAGTTATACCAAAGTAGTCCTATAGAGCAAAATAACGAGCATACAGAAGAAAGTAGAACGGACAAGTCTGATCCCGCCGCATCTTTAGAACTAAAGTCATTAGCGACTGCTTCCTCAAGTTCAGAACACAATGAACAGACTAACGAAAAAGCCTCGCCGCAACTGCCATCGCCGACAACAATAACGACGACGACAAATACAACAACGATATATACAACAACGACGACGAAGCAGATTGCACCTTATGTATCGATATTGACACATTTAAAGAAACCAAGGTGAGTGTTCCTTTTTTTGAAAGATAATTACGGTATTTGATCATCCACTGTCTGTGGACTATGCTCAAAATCTTGAGGATTTTTGTGGTTTCTGTTACTCTTTTCGCCAGGAACATCAACCCCCATGGAATTCTGTGTCCGTACGAAATGATGGGCATTTGCAGGGACGAGGATTGTCGATACATTCACCAGTCGAGGAATCAAACCTGAAATAATACATTACATACTACCGAACATATTCAACATGACGTAAGGTGGTCTAATTTCTCGCCAAATGTGTCAATGTGGATCACACACTTTATAATATATTAACAGCGTTTCAATTCGTAAATATCATAAGTTCACGCTTTAATTCTTTGACTATATCTTGATTTCTAAATTCTAATTGTTCACAATAAATATATATATATTGCATGCAATATAAGATAGAGTCGCGTACACATAAGAAAGAACAGAAAATAATTTTAATTATCTCCTTCAAGCAAATGTCTTTGATTTCGTATTTACAGGTATCATCGATTATACTCTAGGAAATAGATATATCGATATAGGCAGCGATATAGGTTGCGATGTTATGCAGAACCAACACCCGAAGATCGGTAAGTTGTCTTCATCCATGGCAGGCTCTAGTGCACAATACTGAAATTATCATTTTGTTTCGCAAAAATCTTACATTTTTACGTAAGATCTCTATTTTAAAAAGTTGTGCTACTACGGGATCTCGAGAGGTATCCGTATTTTATTGAAAGTTCAAATAAAATTTCTACCAGTGTATATTTTTTACAATTATAACAAAAAAAAAGTGTTTAAACTGCAAGATCAACCAGTGTGGTAAAAATAAATAGAAGAAGAATCTATCGACCATACTGAAAAAAAGAAGAGTTAAGATTAAAAGAAGAGAAGTCCAGCAATTACGGATCGTCGGACAATTAGTAATTTTTTCTTCGTACTTCGATAAGTTACCTCATATTAATAAATCTTGTACCTGTATAATAAAAGTTAAATATTTTTTTTATCTGAAGTGTAAATTAATTATATATATATTCCCTCCCTGTCTCATATACTGTATAGTCTTTATTTAATTTTCTTTTATTTAAATTTCTATAATATCTCTTTCTTAATTAGCAAAATATATATGATCGTTTATAATCGTAATAATCGTAATTATCTCATTTCAAATATAAAACTTTTTAATTTTATTCCACAAGATTGATTTCTCTCTCTCTCTCTTTTTATTCGCCGTATTTGTTGCCGGGGAAATCGCCCTGAGTTCTATATTTATGCCAAGGTAATCTGCCTGTAAGTCTAAGTTCATCCCACTGTTCCACCCAGGCCCTTGGACATATGGACGTGAAAACATCTTTAAACCACGTACATGCTTCGAAACCTTTACCTAAAATGTGCTCACAGCGATAGAAGTCAGTATACATCACGAAACATCTCTGCGTCTGATTTTGTTGCTGAAATCTGCAAAGCGGAGTTGACAGAAAAAGTATCTCTGAATTAATTATGAATACCGTAATTATATATATACCTCGGGTCATTGCCAGGAGAACATTTAAACTCCTCCCCGTCAGAAGTACGTAACTCTTCCTCATGAATCTCATTCTTTTTGAGACAAGGATCATCTTCATCTACTTCGATAGTTATCTTTTTCTTTGATCCCTTTTCCCTCGTACTTTCATACTTTCGTGCTGAGGATGGATTATTTTCTCCCATTTTCTTTAAACGACACAATCACGTGTACTTTACGATATTAATAATTCTGTTATGTATTTCGAATTTTAAAAGCTGTTCAGTGCTCCTGTCATTTAAAAATTTTTTTTCGCTGCTTTTCGCTTGTTCAAACTTCGCTATGTATACAGTGAGAATAATTAAATTAGCGTCTTTATTGACATAAAACCGATCGTATAAAGCGGTACAAAAAGGTTTTTTAAAAATAGCATGCAACGCGCAACGCATGATTAATCACAGCTAACATAAGGCCATTTATCTTCTATCTATCTATGTCTGTGATGCTGAAGTATTTCCAACATTTTTGGATCAAATAAATCTGAATCGCAGATAATGCGTACGTACACTATGCAGTAGCAGCGTATATCATTTTTATAGAAAGAGAATAATACAAATTGTATATGTATGATATACAAATACATATAAGAACAAGCGCTATAGTGACTAATGCATGAATCGCATGAATCAAGCATTAGAATTAACATCAAGCTGCTTCCCGGCGAACACATTGTGGTAAACAAATAAAATCTCTAATGAGATTTATTTTATCTTTCAATATTATACGCCGAGCGGTATACAAATATAATATATACGCGCATATATAAACGATTTCTATATAAAAATATCATCCACGTACGATATTATCGGTATCGATATTATCCATTAAGATTGAGAACACACGTTTCATGTATAGAAGTGTTAGATATTATTTCAAACTATCTATAGTAAAATGTATAAAATGCATATTTTCAAATCTTATGTTCAGTCGTAAGAAATAGACTCTTGATAGAAATCTATAAAAATAGTTCTTAGACTCTAAAAATAGATGCAAATTTTCAACATTATTTAATGATATAACCCAGAAAAAACTGTATTTAACAACCAACATTAATATCTTATCAATCTGACGATGTCTCTAGAAAAAACCACAGTTGTTCATTTGTTTGTAGAAAAAATATGTACATCGCTGAACACAGTTATGAATACAATTATATCAGAAGTCAACAAGTGGAGAATAATTTTCAATGAAATTATTGAATCATGTTAAGTTTTAATTTAAAAATACAATATTTATATTATTATTATCCACTTGATGCTTCCATTAATAAAAGGCACTATTCAGGTCCCAATATTAATTAATTAATCGAGATCAGGATTGAATAATCCTTGCATCCTTCCAATTCTTTACTTTTTCTCTCTTTTCTCACTCTTTTAGAACATATCTCGTACATTTGCGATATATAAATGGTAAAATTTCTTATAATAAAAATGCTTATATTACAGTTTGATAGATATGTCAAGAATGATATTGATAAATGATTAATTCTCAAAAGAGAAACGAAAAATATGTGAACAAAATTGTGTAATTATATCTCTTCAGAATATATATGTATATCTATATATACATATATATATATATACAGATCTCGACCAATGCATTAATGCTTAACGATAAATTTTCTAATCGATTTGAAATCAAGTAATGTCATGGGGAAAGAAGCATTAATGCATGACACTCTGTTTGTATGCTGCAATTAGTGAATTAAAGAAGATCGAACGAAACAAATGTTCATCGATAGGACCAGCCTATCATCTCTGAATGAATAATTCTATAGATATTTATATGATAATATGATAGGCATGATTACATTATATGCGAGCGCAAACAATTATCTTAACGACGAGAGATAAGGTTGACAAGTCATGCGCTGTACCGGCTGATAGAGTCTTCTTTGTACCGGACTAGCGGTAATATTATCGTTTGGTCCGAAATTATAAGAATTGGGATCCCTAGATAAATCAGCGGTGCCTGTTTCTGCAGGACGATTCTCTTGGAGCGGGGAATCTCCGTTGCCGACCTGAGACTGCGCGACAGCTTCGTTCCTCTTGCGAAATTTTGTCGAATACTTATAAAAATCTGACATTTCAAAAGGCTTTGTCACTTCCCTATATGGTTGATATTTTCCTGGCTGTACAACCGTGCAGTTTTGCGGTGAACCTAACGGTCGTACCACATTATCGCAGACGTCCATGGATGGCTTCGATTCGGCCGGTATCTCCAATACCTTCGACCTGGTTGTGGACTGATCATAACGAGGATGAGACTGATGCACTGGGTGCTGCCGCTCTTCGGGCTTATCTCTCTTGTGACGGTTCGCAGGGCCCATCGGCAATGGTGGTCCGCCTATCGTCTGATTATCTCTTGCGTTCTCATTAGTGGCAGTTTTAATACGAGCAAGCGGTGGACTCGACTGATAATGTACGTTCTTTCGTGCGGCGATCAGATTGTGATCCAAGCCGGCACTCACTCCTGCATCCAACGATGTTTCGTACCACTCTTTCTGACGACTCTTACGATTGTTATTCATGTATTCCGTCGCAGACGCATCCTTACCATCGTGCGAATCATGCGAATGACTTGAGTTCCAGGTCTCTACGCTTCCCAATGATTGTGTACGCAGCAGCATCTTGTTGTTCGTCGGCGTTTGTTGCTCGGATAATGGCAGCAGATGAACGGAATGATGTTGATGGGATGACGCGGTGACGTTGCTACTCGACGAGCTTTTAGTACACGCAACGGCAACCGTGCGATAACGCGATTGTGTGTCAAGATTCGCCTCACTGACACTGTTGTGTTGAGCATTTCGACGTCTACGATCTAAACTACCAAATCTGTCAGGCTCGTCCGTGCTCACCCAGTGAATATCATCATTGTGGCGCACCCAGTAACCGGATGGCGATGAAGCCTCGATCGATGTACTGCCGCCACTGTGCCGCGAGGTGTTTTTAACGCAGGATGATAATGACGAGTCGCGATCTCGCCTCTGTAAAATTTGCTGAGATTGCGAGCTGTTCTTATAGTAGGCCTGGTAATCGATGGGCAAGTAATGAGATGAGCGAAAATCTCTGTCGTAGGTTCCCTGTCCACTTCGCCGTAAAATATTATCGGAATTATCGAGATGCTTGTATTCAAAGGAACCTGAATATTGTAGTCGATGGGTCTGCTGCTGCATCTGATCCTGCAATTGTTGTTGCTTCTGTATATGCTGAAATTTAAGGTAGCGCATTTGACGTTCGTCTTCGGTATATGTGTTCGGCACGTAAGGTCGATACATTCTCTCGGTATCCTGATAATGGCGAGATCCGCCACTTCCATGAGAATACGTACGCGCGCGATACTGATCGGGTAAAATGTAAACATTGTGATTATCATTGTGATCATGTTCCACAATCTTAATGTTCGATTGTTCGACAGGGCTTACGCCGGGATATGTGCCACTGTGATGATGATGATTGCAAACATTCGGTACGGTTAACTGCTCCTCGTATCCATGCCCGCTGTAAGTATTCGATTTGTCTTCAGGTGCCAAGGGACTCAAACTAATACCAGGTTCATGAAGAATACTTCTTCCAACAGACTTTGGAGTTATTATCTCATTTCCTATCGTATACAAATTATATGTTATGGATTAAAACGTTTTGTAAAATTATTTTAAAGAAGTAATCATAATAATTTTTCTCTAATACACACACACACACACACACACACACACACACATCAGTATACACAATACCTGTACTATCTAAAGGTGGCCGTGGCTTCTTTGTCCTGTGCTTTACGTTAACATGTGAATGTGGTTGCGTATTGTAACTTCCTGTGTTCACTGGCAATTGAGTTGGACGCTGTGTTTTACCACGAGTCTGCCTAATAAAGTTCAGCTGCGTCTCCAACTCTTGTAGTCTTCGTTGACTTTGCTGATAAGCGAGTCTGTGCTTGCGTCGTGTGGCCTTACTTTCCGTAGGATCATTAATAACACCCAATGCAGCTTCCACAATTCCGAGCTGTATTTGCTTTTCCAACTCCAATTCAGACTCCTCCTGCGCACGAGCGCCATAAATAGACAATAACTCCAATCTAACATATTTATATCGATTCTTATATTATTACATTTAAAACAAAATCTTACAATATCAGATGTCTTCAGCTTGAGGATCAATTTTTGTGGATGTATAAAGGAAGTGCCCACTTTTTTACGAAAAGTTGGTGGACTTTCGCCAGGCTCCAGAGGTATTTCCGGTGGTAAAACTCCGGTTAACTCTGCTTCTTCTATGCACAGGTTTTTCAATTCATTATTTTTTTGAGCAAGTTTCTCTTGTAAGGCTTCTCTGCGCTGACGTAACCATTGCAGTCTCGCAGATAATGGATCATCTGCCAAGGCTCCTGGCGCATTTTCGTTTCCTGCCATCACTAGGCAAATGTAAAAGAATAATTTCAATGTGTTGTAATTAATTATAAAAGCATTGAATATTGCATTATGTATTGATTGATTGTACTTACCCATATTATTGAATAAGGTATAAGCAAATGGGCCAGCTGTAATCTTTACGATTGTTGTATTCAATGCATCTTGATAGTAATATATCTTAAACTACAATGTCATCTGAGTATTATTTATTGCTTCATATCAAGATACTGGAAAGGAGTCTTTAGTTTTTGTATAATTCAAGCATTTTTCCTTTGTAGATAAACTGCAAATAATTAGTAGAGAATAAAATAAAATCCCCAATAAAAGTTCCTGATGATCAGACTTTCTGTAACACAGCGAAAAGTTATTTTCTTTAATAAACAACAGTTTTCAAAGTCTAATTTATTTAGTTACCTGACACATAAAAACACCTAGATTTTTATGTATTATTATTTTTATATAACTGTCCTAATTTCTTTTTAACAAACTTATAAATAGCTTTAAGTGTCTTCAAAATTACATCTTCTTCAACTTCTAAGCAAAGTCCACTAACGCTTATCCTATTTATTTCTGTGATAACGCTTAGGTTAAACGTTATAAAAACGTATAGATTACTTTATCAGTTTACGAGTACTTTATCAATTTCAGTCGATTAATTGCAAAATCAGATGCCGCTTAAAGCGTATATAATAGTGGATTCAGATAACTGTTTCATTCGTAAACTCAGACCGTGTGTCATAATTTAACGCTTCAGTATTCAATGCGAGTTGAATCGACGCTAAGAATGATCATGATTTTACCATCGGTTCCTCGCAGAAGAAATTCGTCAAGTATGCCTACCAGAGAGAAGTAAACACGAGGCTTTAATATCTAGTTCACAGAGAGCAGCGGTGTTAACGCGTTAAAGAAAAGCTCAACCGAGGAGGAACGTCGACTCTGGTCGACTCCCGACTCCGACTCTGAAGCCCAGACTTGAGTCACGCACTTTTTATCACGAACGCATTCGTACCTATTTTACTCGAAGCTACGCCAGTGTTCGTAGTACGCACGCTATTGAGTTTCCCACCAGCTGCACTACGACGGAAGGGATCCCACTCCTTTTCATCTGGAACGGATTGTTGATTGTTGATGCATAACCGATGCGAGGCGTGTTCGGAGCGAGCAAGTGTGTTCGGAAAACGTTGAACTTCAGTTTAAACGTCCAATTCGATTACTTGCCGCGCGCAATGAAGATAGCTGTTTGTTTTTCGTAGCTGAATTTTTTGCACTTTTTCATCCTTCCTCTCCTTTTTTCTATCGCGATCACATACCCTATAAGCGCAAAATGTTCCT